TTTTTGCTTAATTTCAAATTCATAGTGAGCATCAGTAATGAAGGTTTCCAGATACTTGAGGTGCTCCTACTTTAGGAGCAGCCATTTCCAAGACAGGGATGTAGAATTCAGACCCCTCGCTAGCAGGTTTGAAACAGGAATGCGCACAGCCTGCTGTATAAACCTAAAAGAAGTGCTCCATCTTGTTAAAAGTCTATGGCTAGACAGGCTGTTGTTAGGGCTCATTTAACGTGAAGCTTTCCAATTCCCATGCTTCAGGGGAATATAATTGAATTTTTAAACCCATATATAACTCAAACAATCATGTTAAAAAGGATTACTGATCAAGTCCTTTGGTTGCCCCAAATTATTACTTGACAAAATATAATCAAACTGATTTTGGAATACTATGTACAGCTTAATTTTCCTTCTCCTTTTCAACTGATTCCTCTAAGAAGTTGTGAATAGTGTAATTATCTAGTGAATCAGAAGTTTTGCTTCATTTTTTTAATGCCACCTGCTTCGTAACTTTAGAAAAACTGAATCTCTCACATCTTTTTTCAAAAGCAGAGCTCCTGAAAGTCAACTTTCCACACCATTTCAGCTTTTTATAAGTATAAAAACAAGGTTTCTTTACCTCTGAAAGATTAGCTGTTGTGAAATATTTGCCACCCAAGCCATAGCAGCAGCAGCCCCAAGAGAAAGGAGGAGATGGCATACAATAAAACAAATCAATAATTTCTTCATGGAGTTGTTTCAGTATCACTGAATCTTACTGAGAAACCCACTGCTTAGCAAATGGTATGATACATCTGTAGCTCCCCAGACCCAGGATTTATGTGATTTGTGGGTCCTACATTAAATAATCACAGTGAGAAGAAATGCACCAGTAACAACATAGATCCATCAAAAACATGAACTCAGCCTGTCTTAAACAAGGCCAATGCTAGCACCAACAACATATAAGACAACATCAGGACTTTCATTTAGCTTAAAATCTAGTACAGAGTCAGGATGTGCTTGCATGAAAAATGAGTGAAAAATGAAAGGAAAACGTAGTCAATCAACTCAGACTCTCTCTCCCGCTTGTCACCTCCCATAATGTATGGAATTGCTTAAAACCTCCAGGGCAAATCAAGGTGCTCCTGACCACGTCACATGACCTTCAGCTATGCCAATCCCTCTGCCTAGACACTTGCCCTCCCAGCCGTGCACCTGAACCATCGTTCTCATACATCAAGTCTCCTATCACCCTCTGTGCCTCCTCCTACCCTCTCCCACCCTGATTCAGAGCTGTCCCCCCCTCTGTCCCCTCGATGCCCTCTCTGAACCTCTACCAGGACACTCAGAACACTGTACGGCTGCTGGTTCATGACTCCCTAGCTACTACACTGGGAGTTACCTGAGGGGAGAAGCTCCATCTCGCTTTCCTTAGTGCTTAGTCCCCTGTCACCCTCTGTGGTCTCTACTCAGTAAATGAAACCACCATCCCCTGGGGAAAAATTCTGGGCATGGTCTTTAATGCTTCCTTCTGCTTCTCAACTTATGTATCACCCAAATACCCAGTCCACAGCAGGTCAAGATGTTGCATTCTCTGGAAGCATTCACACAGTATCCAGGTGTGCCATTCACTAGACAGTGTGAACAGGTGCTCCCTGGAGGTTAAGCCCTCTCCCTCTTATGGCTAGGTTCAGAATACTCTAGTTCAGAATATCATAATCTCTTGCCTTAATTACCCAAAAAGGCTTCCACAAGATCCCGATTCCAGTGTCCCCATGCAGCTGTTCTTCCCACAGCAGCCAAAGTAAACTTGACAAAAATCATATTTGAGACTCACTCCTCTGTATCAACCATCACTAGTTTGCCAGCTCCCTCATGATAAATCCAGATGTCTATCATCTCGGCTCTGCATTTCTTACTACTATCTAAGCTCCCACTCCATGCTCCAAATTAAAGCTTGTCAAACATGTCTTGTATTTGGCATTGGCCATTCCTGCTATTTCCCATGACCTGCTGGCACTACCTGTCATAGCATTTATCATACTGTTTCTTTGTATCCTCCAATGCCACTTTAAGCTTTGTGAAGGTAAAATCCATTTTTAGTGCCTGGCATTACAAGTGCACTCAATAAATACTTGTTTTAATAAATGAATGAAAGAATCAAACAAAAGTTTCATTAACATCAAATTTTTTTAATGTCTCTTTAAACAGAATTCTCTGACAAAAGTCAAACATTAAGAAAATGTAAAAATGTAATCTGAGCTTTGGTACGGTGTTCAGAAGTGCCTTCTGTTAACACAGATTATAGATTTGTAGGTCGGGAGTAAAATCCTTCTCAAATGCATCAGCACAAATTACTGAAATAGTGAGGACTTGGGTATACTTTACCCATTTTTCGAAAGTAATGCAAATAAAACAAAAGACTGGGAGGAAGCCAATAAATGGGAGGCATGGTATTTCTGTCAATCAGGCAATAATGATTTAAATGATGCTATCAAGTATTACAGTGAAGAACTACATTTTTAGAAAGAGATCACTTGGGAAAGTCCTGCTTTTGTATCTTTACGTCAATTAATGACATTACTATTAACCAAAATAACTCAGCGCTATGTAGCAGGCACTGTAATAAATGCTTATATGTATTAGCACTTTTATCTTTCCAAGAATCTTTGAAGTAGGCACTTACTATTTTTCTAATTTTATGTAAGAGGAAACCGAGGCTTAAGGAGGTTGAGCAATGTGTCCAAAGTCACAAGCTAGTTCAGTGCAAATAGGATGTACACACTCAGGTCATGTGAGTATACAAAATGATTCTCTTTACCATTAAGACTACAATATGATATTCCCTAAAGACTATACTTTATTTCAACAACTTTTAGGACAGGAGGGTAACTGTAGTAATAATAACAAGGGTAACTTAGTAAGTGCTTACTATGTATTTGAGCGCTGTTACAAACACAAAGGTGTCCATTCCTTTAATCCTCCCAGTCATCTGATGAGGTAGAAAGGATCAGTATGCCAACTCCCAGCTTAGGAAACCAAAGCACAAAGAAGTGATTGGTCCGAGGCCCTAAAGCTATTTGAAGCCAGAATTCAAATATGAGAAGTCTGATTCCAAATCCTTTTGTGTCTTAACCACTAATGTGAAATTGTCTCTAGGGAAAAATAGGTTAACAAGAAAAAACAGTAATAATAATTAATGCAAATTCTAAAGTATATCTTGGGATCTATACTTCTGTCCTGTCTTCACAGAAATAATAAATACTGCAGCTTGGAGTAGTTCAAAGAGCTGCAGACTACAAGTAGAAGACAGCATATTCTGAACCTGTCTTGCTGTTTTCTAGCTCTGTAATGACCCTCTGAATCTCTTATGTGAAAAATAGCCATCAGTCAGCAATAGATGAATGGATAAAGGAGAGGTGGTATATGTATACACTGGAATACTACTGTTCAGCCATCAAAAAGAATAAAATCTTGCCATTTGATGTGACAGATGGAGACAGCATTGTGCTAATAATAAGAGTCAGAGAATGACAAATGACATATGATCTGATTCATATGTGGAATTTAAGAAACGAAATAAATGAGCAAGAGAAAAAAAAAGAGAGAGAGAGACAAACCAAGAAACAGACTCTTAACTATAGAGAATAAACTGTTTACCAAAGGGGAGGTGGGTAGGAGGATGGGGGAGACAGGTGAAGGGAATCAAGAGTACACTAATCATGATGAGCACTGAGTAATGTACAGAAAAGCTGAACCACTATATTATACACCTGAAACTAATATAATACTATATGATGACTATACTGGAATTAAAACTAAAAACTTAAAAAAAATGGCAATCACACTACCTGCCGTGACTACTTTGTAAGTTTCTTCTAAGGATCACATAAGAAAATAGATGAAAGAACTTTCTTGCCTTTGGAAAGTTTTTCTGTATAAAATCAACTTATTTAATGACTTGAGAAAAATTCAAGTCATTCAAAATTCAATACTTATAGCTCATGTATAAGCTATAGATAAAAGGCTCAATTTTATTACCTTTTCATATGCCATGATACATTTAGCAAAGCATAACACTAACAAACTCTATGCTAAGTGCATTGTAAAATACTGAAGCTATGCAAGTTATGATCATTTCAATAATTTATACCATGAATTAGGGAAATTTTCTTTGTAAATAGATTATTACTCAAGCAATTTTAAGTGTACATATGATGCAACAAAAATAACCAAGAGAATAAAATAAAAGTCTTAAATTTGACAGTCTTATTGATGCTGATAACAGCTAGATTGTGACCTAATATTTTAACAACCTGGTAGCCTCTAAAATTAGCTTGGTTTTAACAACATTTACAGCAGCCCCAAAATTTGCAATGTGCTATTTTAGACATTTACTGAAGTTGATTCCTAAGGTAAAATTCAATGAAATTATATAAATATCAAGTGAGCACCTCACTATGTGCAAAAAAGGGCTGTGCCAGGTACTATGCAAAACAAGAATGAGAAGAATTTTAGTTCTGCTTTCAAAAGTTTACAGACACCACACTCATACACAATATATATCCATAAGCTATATGCTAATTACTACTTTAGACAGTCTTAGATTTAAAATTTTTCCACTTTGCTTTAGATTATTATATGCCTTTAGATGACATATAATGTGAATATCATCAGGGAAAAAAACTGCAGGATGAAAATATAAGGATGCTATGACACTTGAAGTAAGCCAATTTAAAGAGTATAGTTAGGTCTCCATTCAATGTAAATACTAAAAATACACATCCTGCAATAAATAGTTCTATGTTAGTAAACTAGCCCAATGATATTATTTTTAAAAAATCTGTTTATCTACTTAACAATCGCTATACAACTATAACTTTATTCATATGCTAATGAAGCAACCTTGTCCTGTGGCTACAAAAACTTATGAAAATATAAAAATAATGTTAAGATTACAGACACTGAAGAATGCATCTAGATTTAAAATTTGAAATGACATAAATACTGAACTTTACAAGTATACATCATTATATTTTTATTTTTGGAAAATGACTTATAAATAGTTCACTTGAGTACATTTCTCATGACTTGACTCACTGTACAGTTAATTAAACTGTGCCTAAAGATAATCTTTTCCTGTATGATTCATTTTCTTAAAAAGCAAAATACTTTATTTTCAATTAAAAAATTTACATGAAAGTCAAAGACAGTAATTTCACAGTAAAAATGAAAATCAACCACCATATCTTTTCTTGAGTTCTTCAATAGACTTATCCTTCAATCCTGATTTGTCTATGTGATTGAACAATACATGTGCAACTGAAAAAGAAAAAAGTTTCATTTTAATCTTCATTTTATAAAAACTAAGTGAATCGAAATTTAAAGAGAGTAATCTGACTTGTCAAATAAAACCTTCTATATTCTATATTTAAAAAAAAACTTTTATATTTTAAAGCAATAACCATTAGGATTATTTATAAATTCTACTTCAGATATTTATTTATTTACTTCAGATATTTAAACAGCTAATCTGAGAAAATTATACTAGAATCTAAGGTTTCTTACCAAAATATTTTGTAAAAGCATTTCCCCTACTTTCTCAATAACATTAATCTTGCAGATTAAACTTAATTCATTCTATACTACCTTAAACATTTTTGCCCTTTGTAACAGCTATATTTACTTAATATTTTACTTAACTGTTTTTCAAACTGAAACCATTTTATCTTAGAAGAAAATTTTGTACCCACTACTGTAAATGGAAACTTAGTAATAACATTTACAAAATCATGTTAGCTATACATTTTTATAATATCCAATAATATATATAACTATTAAAAATAAAACAAAACTTGCCTATAAAACACCTTTCCTACCACTGAATGGTCCACACTCAACACTTTGGGAAACTCTATAATTCAACATGAACAGTGGCTACTGGTCGTTAATGATAAGGAAAGTAACAACAGCAAACAGTGACTGAATGCTTAGTTACAGTCCAGGAACCATTCCAGGTGCTCCCCCTGTTTAGCTCAGCTGATAATGGTCACCCCACCAAGACAGTACTGCTGTACGCCAGTCTAAAGAACCAATTTACATTCTTTAGTACATCTGTACTTATCACATGACAGTAGCAAGAAATTCAATTATTCAGTGCATTTACACTGACAGGTTGCTATGCACTAAGCACTAAGAACAAGGTACAAAAAGTTCCTGCTCTCATGGAGTTTTCATTCTATTAAGGGAAAGAGAAACAATAAACAAATACATGAAATATTTGCAGCTAGTTACATATTATGAAGAAAAATAAAGAAGGGTAATAAGCCAGAGGGTGACAAAGGGAGGCAGGCAGTTATTCTGAGTAGGTCTGTGGAGGAAAAGTATCTCCAAGGTGGTAACTCTTAGGTGGAAACGGAATGAAGTGAAGAAGCAAGCAAGGGGAAGATATTCTAGGCTGAGGAAACGGCCAAATGCAAAGCACTGAAGGCCAATAAGTTTACCAGCTTGGTATACCAAAAAATATAAAGTCTGTGTGGTAGAGCAAAGTAATTGAAAAAAGGTAGAATTGTAACAAGAGAAGCTAGTATTTTTCAGAAAACTTCAGGGACTGTTTCTGAGTAAAGATAAAACAGAAACATCTTTTAGTTTAAACTCTATTTTAAAAACTTATGTAAAATGACATGTCCACTTCTCTTAAGTATAATGTAGCATATATTTTTCTTAGTAATTCAGACTCATTCACTATTGCTGCTAGAAACATAAAGAAACAAGAGAAGGAACCCGAGTATGTTTAGTCTAGGAGATAAACGAAAATGGTGCAGTTTCTGCTATTTTTAAAACTAAAAACCTGGTACTCTTGCATTCTAATAATTTTTCTTTTTCCTAAAACTAGAGTAAAGCCCAAAACTCTTAGTAATTGAAGTTCCTGCATAGTTTGATTTTACCTAAGGTTTTCCTAAACCGACACTTCATGGGAAAGACTGTGCTGCAGAAATAAACAGGGAGTATAATTCTGCAGGCTCATCACTGCCAATTCTCCCCCGACTCTACAATCCAGCTGCACTGTACTTCTTTTAATTTTCTTCTTTTTTTTTTTTTAAAGATTTTATTTATTTATTCATGAGAAACACACAGAGAGAGAGAGAGAGAGAGAGGCAGAGACACAGGCAGAGGGAGAAGCAGGCTCCATGCAGGGAGCCCAATGTGGGACTTGATCCCGGGTCTCTAGGATAAGGCCCTTGGCTGAAGGTGGTGCTAAACCGCTGAGCCCCCCAGGCTGCCCTTCTTTTAATTTTCTGAAGTCAATCTGCTCTTTCCTGCCTCTGAACTTCTGCATACATCATTCCCAGGGTCTAAAACTCTTCCCTACTCCTTTCATTTAGCAGGCTCCTGTACTTCTTTGAGCATTCAGCTTCAATCAAATATACACAAGGAAATGGGCTCTCAAAGAATGGGGTAGACCTCCCTGCACCCATGCCCAGTGACATGCTTCTGTGAGAGGTACCCTTCACATGTTCCACGACAGCAAGCTCTCAACCATTACACTTTAAGGCGTTGTCAAGTAGTAGAGTCCAGACTATAAAGTCAGACTGTATAAGTTTAAATCCTGGGTCTGGCTTCCTACCTAGGTGACCTTGGTCAGGTTCCTTACCTCTCTGTGCCTCAGTTTCCACCTTTGTAAAAGGGAACTGATAATCACACCTATACCTCATAATGCTGCTGTCAAGATTTTATGTAATTCAATTTAACTTAATTGTAATTTAAATTTAACTGTATCTTATACACAGTAATTATTCAGTAAATGTCCACTATCATGTGTTGAGTAAATAAAGGAACATGTCATAAAGAGATCTGGAAAAGCTTTCTTCACAGAACTTACTTTTTTTCTCAGGTTCTGACATAAACATCACTGCCATATCAAACCTTTTTAGTTCAGAAAGTTTTTGTAAGATTTCAAAGATGAGTGATGGCTCTTCTTTCCTGAAATAATCCAAATATAAAACAAATGATTAATTAAAAGTAGCTCACACAATTCTGTTTTTCTATCATAATAGTTCTAATTATACATAAATAAGTCTTCATTTATCCTTTTTCCCTGGATACTGTTTATATTTTAAGGGCTCAAATGAAGAGCTTTATCAAGTCAATTGAAGAAATTATAATATTCTTAAATATGAGGTTTATTAATTTGCTATCACATTTGTCACTTCACCTCCCTTTCTTTAAAAAAAAAAAAGTTGGAAAGTCCTTTTCCCTCCTACCTAATCACTTCCCTTTTTTTTGCTTGTACTTGTCACCTCTTCACAACTTCTGCAATGGTCAAATTTACTAGCAAGCTAATTTTGCTATACAGAAGGTAATAATAGGACATCAAGGAAAATGACTTTGCCAGATCACTAGAAATAGGGTAACATTACAATACACAGGTATAACAAAAAAAATTCCACTTACTCAATGTAAAAGTCATGCAGAATTTTAATGATTTGGTTGAATACATCTGGATCTAGATTTTTCTGAAACAACTTAGGATACATGGATGGCTCAATTTGCTTGGAAAAGACAAAGAGAAAATTACATCATGGCAACATTCACATATCACATATTATGTATGCAACAATTGCTTAGGGGAATATAGGGAAGAGTAACTATTATGCACTAGTCCTTATTGAATAATAATGAGGTCACATTGCAATGTAACTGTGATAGAAGAATGAAAGTCAGAGGAACTCTAAGATAATCACTCTGTTTCAGGCAGAGAAAAATCTCATGTTTCCTGAGACAGGAAACTTCAGAGAGCTCTCAAGGAGCAATAAAAATAACTAGACAGTTTAAAAACCAGAATTACATAGGATAATATAGTTAGAAGTAATTGTGTATCTTCTATGCAATAGAAAATTATAAGGGATTATTACTATAATCACACTTGAAAAAGATAATGCTAAGATCCATTATTTGGTAAATTTCATAAGATCTGATTCTTTTTCTTGGAGCAAATAAGAGCTCATTTTCAAAAGAATGATGGTCTAAATATTGCAAGTAGTGCTTGGGGCACATGGAAGGCACTCAGTATATTTTAATTTCTTTCCCCATCTTGAAGAATGAAGAATTAAGTTTAAGTTAGGATTTTTGAAATGAGCATTTAGTTATTTTACCACAGATTTAACACAGAACCTATTTCCAAAGGTTTCCTGGTTGCAAATATTTCAAATGGTCTGGCCAAGGTTATACATGCAGCAGGCAAGGGTTCCACAATCATATTATTCAAAAAGCAAATACAGTACTATTATCATACAGTAACAAAAGAAGTTCTTTGATCTTTTACTTAAACTAGAACTACTAGCTTCCTCTTTCTTACCTTCAAATACTGATACAGCATATCTGGAGAATTTTTCAGTTGTCTGAAATCAGATTCAAGCTGGAAGGAGTTAGCAGGAACTGGAGGAAGAGCAGCAGTGACAAACTGAGCAGGTGTTCTGTCTATGTCTACAGGAATCTTCTCACGGAAAGACTGACATACACCCTGTTTCAACTTGACTTGAGGTCTAAAATATTTCAGAGGCATCAAACAGTTTAGAAAAGAACCATAAATAGTTACAGCTTACAAAAGGAAACATCAATAGTGAGTTTTCAATTTCTGACTTTATTAATATATTTTTGTAATTGTTTATAGTCTACATGTAGTAAATTCTTTCAGCCGGTAATAACATATTTTCGGCAAGAATAGATTATGCTTTTGCCAATTTTCACATGCTGCCTACGTAATGACTATTCTCATCTGTTGGGACTAAGTTAGCCTGGCCACCTTTTGAAGTATACCATTTCTACAGCCTGCATTACAACATCATATCACAGATCCTCACAACTCAGCCTTTCAGAAATCTGAATTATCAAAGTTTGAAGAAAGATATTCCAAGATACCAAGAGATGTTTCCTCTTTTTAAAAGGTCTGCCCATTTAGTGTTTTCCCAAATCACTAAATATCACTATCACTTTAAATAAAATCACTAAAATTCAACATTAAAAAACTTTAATAGGATTGCTGAGTGGCAATAAGAATGTATGAATTAAGTTTCAACATCCCCAAATAAACCTAATTAATCTAGATCTTTTATATTCTCATCATTAACCAAAAACATGACTATTTCTAAAAATTCTACACATAATTTAAAGAGCTCACAAATAATCTGAAATATTAGTGGCTAGAATAATAATGAATAAATTCTACATTTATGAAGCTTCCTTTTAAAACCTTAAAGATTTTTGCTGAATTAAAAAGTGAAATGCATATATTGAAGTTCTAGAGTAAAAATGCACAAAATCAATTTGTTCAAGATACCTTCTTACCTCCAAATTCCCCACTCTGGTATAGGAACAGTGATCATACCTTAAGCAAAACCTCTCCTCCAGGTAAGTACAAATAAAAAAGAAAATCTAGAATGTGAAGTTGAGCAGTTCAAAGAATTATGGTAATACGTACAAACCAGAAGTCTCAGTAGTAGTATCAATTTTCTAGTGAACTATTACCATTCTCGATGAGTATCAAGATTTTTCTTCTGGGGCACCTGGCTGGCACAGTCAGTTAAGCGTCCAACTCTTAGATTAGGCTCAGGTCATGATCTAAGGGTCGTGAGACTGAGCTCAACATCAGTCTCATGCTTAGTGCAAAACCTGCATAAGACCCCCTTCTCCGTCTCCTGCTGCCCCTGTCCCTCACTCTCTCTCTTTAAAATAAATCAATCAATCTTAAAAAGAGTGTTTCTTCTACTCACGGCTGGGTTGAAGTATCACTGATTTCTTCTACTTTCAATACTTTTGCTTTGGGAATATCACTTGTGGGCAAAAGGTCATCTTGGCTCGAATTCTTCTTACTTGGAACACCTGCATTTGCTATTCCATTTGCCAGATTAGGATTACTCTGTGGAGCAGCAGTAGTGCTTTCTGGCACATCAATAGTCTGTATCAAATTACCAGTTTCTTCAATAATAACTTTCTTGAGTGGTTTCTAAAATAATTAAAATCAATTTTTTAAATCCACATATAAAGGTTTCCTATTTTAGGGTCACAAATTAAAAGGTTGCAGTGTTCTCACAATTACCATCTGCTTCATATTTAAAGAATGTACTTAGATTTCATTTTCATAGACTAACAGTTTTAAGTAAATTCAATCTGATGGCTAGACAGACAGGAGTCACACTCTGAGAATACAAAGAATAAAAAAGGGGCAGCCCGGGTGGCTCAGCGGTTTAGTGCCGCCTTCAGCCCAGGGCATGATCCTGGAGACCCAGGATCGAGTTCCACATCAGGCTCCCTGCATGGAGCCTGCTGCTCCCTCTGCCGGTGTCTCTTCTCTCTGTCCCTCTCTGCCTCTCATGAATATATAAATAAAATATTTAAAAATAATAATAATAGGGGATCCCTGGGTGGCTCAGCGGTTTGGCGCCTGCCTTTAGCCCAGGGTGCGATCCTGGAGTCCCAGGATCGAGTCCCGCGTCGGGCTCCCTGCATGGAGCCTGCTTCTTCCTCCTCCTGTGTCTCTGCCTCTCTCTCTGTGTGTGTCTATCATAAATAAATAAATAAATCTTTAAAAAAATAATAAAAATAATAATAATAAAAAAGATGCCTAGCACCTACCATATGTTAAGTCTGAATGCAAGAAAGAAGAAATGTACGTATATATAATTACAAGGCAATGGGATGCGTACCATAAAAGGTGAAAGCACAACATACTAAGAGAACACAGAGGAAGGAAGACAAACACTGGCATCAGGAGAGTCTTCACAGATAAAGTACAGATGACTGGTAATGTGGAAGGGCACAGCATGGTCAGTAGAAAGATGAGAAGTCCAATGGGGCTACTGCAAGGGGAGGAGTGGTGGGGATAAAGCCTGAAATGAAAGGCTGCTTAAAGGCACCTTATAAAAGAGCTGTGCACCACGTTAAGGAGTTTGGGCTTTATCCTAGAGGCAACAAGGCCAAGAAAAATTATGGCCAAACCTATAGTGGGCTAACTCAAGGGAAGCAGAACAAGGTCAGGCAATAACCAGTATTCTGTAGAAAACAGACTAACATTAAAACCTAAATGGATTTAAAACAAAAAACACTTAAGTAGATTTTCTAAATATGTAGCTGCTGGATAAAACCAGCCTAATATTAAAGATTTGCCAAATACATTCACAAAGTTGGTAAGACTTGACCATAATGGTTTCTAATTTAATAAAATAATTAGGGTTCACTGTTTATTTCAATCATTATAAATGTCAAACATGCTTAATTTCTTCTGAAGTTTACATATAATACTATTATTTTTAATAAACTTTTCTTCAATATACTCTAAGTGTTCATTCCAACTGTATGGTTGAATTTTATTTTATTTTTTTTAAAGATTTAATTTATTTATTCATAGAGACACAGAGAGAGAGAAAGAGAGAGAGAGGCAGAGGCACAGGCAGAGGGGGAAGCAGGCTCCATGCAGGGAGCCCGACATGGGACTCGATCCAGGGTCCCCAGGATCAAACCCCGGGCTGCAGGCGGCGCTAAACCGCTGCGCCACCGGGGCTGCCCGAATTTTAAATTAAGAAGTTGTAAATATAAAAACTTTTGACATATATATCAAAATCAGTGTTAAATCCAGATATTGTATTAACATAGCTAAGAGAAGACCTAACAGTAACAATCAAGCGTTACTGGATGAACATAAATTTTAAAAGCTATTAGCAAAATTGTTAACGGAATCCTAGTAGCAGTTCTAGTTAAAGCACAATCATGTTAAGCGGAAGCCTTTGCCTTGCTGAGAATTCTCGACAGCAAGTTTCCTCTGAAGATATTAACCAAGAATGGGCATGTGTTAGTGCTGCACAACAGACTATAATTTCCAACAGGCAATAATCACTGGATTAAATCAATACAGTCCTATGTAAAACCAAATCCTTTTACTGACAACAGATATGTAAATGTGATCTTAATCTAAAAATTTCCTAATCAGTGGTCTCTATTAAATGTAGAACTGTGGGTACCGGGAGCTACTGAGGGCTACCGAGGGATGAGGGGATGACAGTATGCTGGTTAGCAGGAATAAAACACAAAATGTATCACTACAGAAAGATTTAAGAAAATATGATGATTAATCCTTTTTCAAAATTAAAATTTAGATGCATAACATTTTATTTAGCTCTACATTATGATCATTTCAAGAAAATGAAGAGAAAAATAAACGGAGAAAAAGAAAGGAAAGGACTGAGGAGGAAGGTGAAGTTTTGCTATAGGAAAACAGAAAAATGAAAGTAAAACAAAATAAAGCATTTCAGCAGAGACTACAAGATCAGGAGACCCTTCATTTACTACCACCTACCCGGGAACCCCGGGGTCCCGTGTGATCTACATCACTGTTCTCCTACACTCTCTCCAGAGAAGATTCACCAAAAGTACTCCCAGGATGTCAGCATCCTGGTCTTGAAACATAGACTTCCCTGGCCTAGGCTCTCGATTGACTCAAGTGCTCCTAGGACACTCTCCACTTCCTGGGCCTTCCTCCCTTTCCTAACCACTTTCTCCAGTGGTCAGGTTGTCTCACAAATGTGTGACTGAGACAGAAATTCATATTCATTTCACCTAAAACTGCCTTAGAATTAATGGATATTATTTCCTTTGATCGAAACTAACCTGTGAGTTATCCTCAAGGAGAAATAGTAAGGATCACACAGGGATTAGATAACTTGCCCAAAATTTCAAAGTTTATAAAGTGGGGCTCAAATCAACTCTTAAGAACATTATGCTCAATTGCATCTTCTATTTTTTAAATAATGCCCACATTTTTATTATAAAAATAAACAATTTTCCCTCTTCCTGGTAAGATACTGATTTTGTTTGGGATCATTTACAGAATGGTTTATGTCCGAGATCCTTCATTGCAGAGAGGTGTTCTATTTGAGATCTTGTCACGAAGACTTAAATACATGTTGCATTTTCAAATTACTAACATTAATTGATTTTTAAAGTGAGGGAGAAGAGAAGCCAACAAATGAATAAAAGCTCCTAATTCTGGCCACAGGACATCACATATACAGATATTTGATTTACAACATGGCTGTGTTTTTATAATTATGGACAACAAGGTCTGACAAAGCCTTTGTTAAAGGCTTTTCTAAACCTTGTGAATTATTCTTTTATGAAAACCTCTTACAAAGATGTAACAGCTTAAGCCCCTTTTTTAAAACCATTTTTAATTAAACACATAAACTTTATTGAAAAGAATAGCATATTAACATAATCTAAGAAAACGAATACAATATATAAAAACAACTAGATTTATGCCTGCTCCTGAAATAAACATTGTCTCAGAAAATCCAATAAAGTCACAACAAGAACACTGGGGGGCATCTGGCTGGCTCAGTCAGTAGAGCACACAACTCTAGATGTCATGGTCATGAGTTGGAGTCCCTACGTTGGGTGTTGGAGCCTATTTAATTAAAAAAAAAAAAAAAAAAAACCACTAGAAAAGCATTAAATTAAGAAATTCTGTTACTAACCTGAAATATGAACTTGACAAAAGACTTTGCCTTTCTTCCTTTGCAAAAGGAAGATAAAATATCTACTCTGACTTCCTTATAAAATTGTTAAGGCTCTCAAAGCATCCACCATGCATAAGTTACTTCCAGAAGACTGAGAGAGGATCATGACCAGTGAGGGGCACACAGGGAGATTTTGGAGCTGACACTTTTCAATTTTTGACCTAATTGGTGATTTCATGGGTGTTCACTTATAATTTTTAAATCTTAATTTGTCTCACTTACTCTTTTGTATACATTATATAAATGTTAGAAACTACCATTGATATCATATATATAAATATATATATATATATTAGGTAACAACTTTAAAGATTCAGCAGAACACAAATTGCTAAATTCATGCCAGCTACTTTCTGTTCTAACATTTTTGCAGGGAAAAAAACCTGGCTTTGTTGGACTTAATGAAAAATAATACAGTGTACAAAAACAAAGTGCAATGTATATTTTTAAAGACAATTTGCTTATACTAGAGTTTTGCCTTAGGTGCTAATTTTTTTTTTAAAGATGTAGATATGGTTTTGGGTATTTTATAATGTAAGGATAAACCTGGCTGAGGATACTGTAACCATCCTAAGTTTCTCAGGACACACATATGATGGGCTGTGTCATTTCCCCATACTGAGCTGGAAAGCAGAGGATTCTTGCAGAGAAAGAATGAGGTGGTTTACAGAAAGGCAGATGTACACCACTCCTGCAGATGTGCATTGAACAAAGACCATATGCTGGGTTCTCTGAGCCAAGAGGCACACCTCTGACTTTCTCCCCAGCTGACTGAGCCCCAAGCAGCCCGCAGTTGTTTGATAAGTTAGGAAACACCTGAGCCAGGGTCCTGTGGTGTCTTCACCAAGTATAGGACAGGTGTCCCCCTTATCCTTGGGGATCACCTCAGCATGTGGGAAATGCTCTGCTGCCATTCAGGGACCTGAGAGTAGGAGAGAGTTTAAGGCAGTGGAGAAATGAAAGGAGGGTCTGTTTTATTTCTGCATAGTCTATGCAAATCAAAATAAACCTCCATCTCTTCCAGGGCCTTTATGAGATCCAAAAGCTGGTGCCTCTCCCCTGGGAACAGCAGCTCTGTCTCTACCAAGGACACAGAGAAGGACAAGGTAAATGCTGTGGCCATTTTTAGTTGTACTTCTTCTGGGAAATCATCTTTTTTATACAGCACTCTCTCCTGGTCTTACCTCTGTTTTGTGGGTTGTGTGAGATGTCTGCTATGTTATTTATTTTTAAAGTGCAAACTCTTAACCCTACAGGCTTCTCGATTTTCAGCTTGTCATCTTGGTTATGCCTCCAGAAGCCAAAAGTACTTAAAGCCTGAGGACCTTAGGGAGTTGATTATATATTTCTAGGAATAACACAAACAAGACAAAACCACCCTCGACGCTGAAGTCTCCTGACCTGGCTGACTCCTTCCAGAACTCCTCTATGCAGGATTGTTGTTGTTTCCACCTTTCCTGTTTCCAGTGAGGTGGCCAACCTGTTTAGAATGTCTGCGGTAATCCTCACCACTGGAAAAGGTGAGATGCCATCCCTCCAACTTTACAGTGTGTGCTTTGTGCAATTTTGAATGGTCTCAGGTAAGGGAATTTCCCAACTCATCACTGCTCCATCTCCTTGGTAAATGTGCTATACAGAATCCCACCAGTTGTACCCTAGGTAAAAATATTCTGAATTGTTAGAGGTGACATATTTGTAGAAAACATACACTAGAAATGAAATCATGAAGAGAGAAAAAGTTAACTGCAGGGCCAGATGCGCACAAAGTCCTTCGGCTGTGTTCATATGAGTAGTTTCTGCTGTGCCCTGAGTCATTGTTCGAACTGATACTGCCTCTCATAATACATCATTAGAGTTTAATACTAGAAATCAAAACACATTTGTGTTATTTATTCTGTTGTTCTGTTATTTAGAATTTTTGCCTTTTTCCATAAAACATAATTACTATGTGTCTCATGGTGTATTTAAAATAAGACCTACCTACCTATGAATTAATAAGATAAACATAGCTGAGCTTAGTTGACATTTATAAGTAACATATTCCTCTCAGAGAACACTCAGTTTCCCTCCAAAACTCCAGGAATCTCCATCTCCCAGAGGTCTCTGAGGCCACAGAACTCCCAGAGAGAGTCCCCTTTGTCAAGGAGGGAAGCAAAAGAAGGTCATGGGCTAGCAGGTAGAACTTTTCCATAGCAGTGATTATGATACCATGTGTGGAGAATGGGCTTTTTATTCTCATTCTTTTTGTTCTCAACATACAAATAACCATCTCCTGCAGCCACGGAGGAGGGACGTAGGGCTATCCTAAACACAGATGCCTGCCTGTCTGGAATATGCTACCTTATTAGTTTATAACTTCTGTTAATCCTCTAGGATGGAACCCTTGCCATTCTACATTCGCACACATGGGCAGTGACTTGTAGTGACAGTAATTTAACCTCTTGGCATCTATTCCCTCAAGCTGTATGTGGCACCCAGTGGGACGGAGTGTTTTCTGGCGTGATCCTGCTCTCTTGGAATCTGGTGGGGTAGGAAAGGTGGCAGGTGCTGACACCTGCTCTTTTGGGTTTCAGCTGTTGTTGGTATTATTGGCTCTTTTGTCTCTCATATCAACACAGCTTTCACTTTTGCTCTGCAAGTCAATATGGTTACAAGAGGACCTCCTCCTTTACCAGGGCCATCCTGCACGTCCTACTGCATGGGCCGCCCCCCCTTCATCACCACCCAGGGCTATGAACCATCTCTGCCTCCTGCACCTTGGTGGCGCTGGGGATGACACCTACCATCTCCACCCAATAAATGATCTGAGCAGTGGATCACATTCATCCTTATTTCTGTTGTTGTTGACCTTAGGTACTGATTTTAGATCTAACCCCACATAGGATGCAAGGCTATTGTAATAAAATCATAATCCCATATGAAAATGGTACTAGAAATTAAAAATAATTATTATAAAATGTAAAACTACCTCAAATTCCTTTAATATCAGAAAATATATAGGAATGTTTAAATTCAGGCAGCCCGGGTGGCTCAGCGGTTTAGCGCTGCCTTCAGCCCAGGGCCTGATCCTGGAGACCCAGGATTGAGTCCCATGTCAGGCTCCCTACATGGAGCCTGCTTCTCCCTCTGCCTGTGTCTCTGCCTCTCTGTGTCTCTCTCATGAATGAATAAATAAAATCTTAAAAAAAAAAAATTTAAATTCATAGTGCTAAATTAAGTCACTGAAAAAGTCATCCCAGAATTCTAAAGAGCTGAATTTCCCCCAATTTTATTATGTCAATAATCCTAAGAGTATTTTTTAAAGATTCTAAAACAAGTTTATTAATTCAACAGTTTGCTTCCAACTCTTATTAATAAAACACTGATATAGGGGCACCTGGGTGGCTCAGTGATTGTCTACCTTTGGCTCAGGTCATGATTCTGGGGTCCTGGGATCGATCAGGCTCCCCACAGGGAGCCTGCTTCTCACTCTACCTATGTCTCTGCCTCTATCTCTCATGAATAAATAAAATCTTTAAAAAAAAAACTGATATTAAAAGGGAAAAAAAAATGAAAGAAAAGTGCTTTACTTACAGTTGACCCAAGATGAGATGGATTATCAATAGGTTTTATCACATTTTGCCTTTGTGTAGAATCAAGAAAAACATCATCCCAGTGTCCTTTCTCAATTAAGTCCTTGAAAATAAATTTGTAAGCATGACTACCAAATATTCTCAAGTTAATTATATAACAGATAACGTGTTTCTGTTTCAAAAAATAAGGCCATATTTTGGTGAAAAGAATACATTACCTTTTTAATTTTGGAAAGTTCAGTTACTGCTTGCTTATTCCCAGGTTCCAAAAGTAAAACAGTCTCAAAATCTAAAGTGAATTTTTAAGAAGTAGAATGAATTAGTGAAAATACTTTACAGAGTTCAAGACATGATACGTTTAGTTAATAACCCAGTTAATCTCTAGAAGTTTTAACTCAGGACACTAGGAAACAGGTGAGCAATAATAAGAGCTAAACACTGAGTGCTCTTCTAGTTACTTTATGCAACTTTTCATGTCACCCTCATCACAACCCCACTTTCCAAATGATGCAACTGAAGCCTAGAGGTCCTCTAACTTACCAAAGTTCACACTATTAATAAATGACAGGGTTACTCACCAAATGTAAGTCAGCATCTAAGAGAATTCCATGTAATGGAGTATCATCTGGCCTTAAACCTTAGACATTATGCTAGTGAAAGACACCAGACACAAAAGGACAAATACTGCATGATTCTATTTATATGGAGAATCTAGAATAGTCAAATTTATAGAAACAGAAAGTAGAATAGTGGCTACCAGGGGCTAGAGGAGAGGGGAATGGGAACTTCTTTTTTTTTTTTTTTGGAATGGGAACTTATTAATCAGTAGATTTTCACGATTGGATGATGACAAAGTTCTGAAGATGTTTGGTGGTGACGGTTGCAAACAGTGTGAATGTACTTAATGCCACTGAATTGTATACTTAAAAATGATTAAGATGGTAAATTTTTTAGTATGTTTATTTTGCTACCATTTTTTAAATGCACACACTACAGCTGAAGCCAGGCTTACAGAGAAATTCTCAGATTTAAATGTACATATCATTAAGAAGGAAGGCTGAATATCAATTTTCTAAGTACTGAATGCAAGATATTAGAAAAACAGCAAATTAAACCTAATAAAATAGGGGCGCCTGGGTGGCTTATTTGGCTAAGCGTCTGCCTTCCATTTACGTCATGATCCCAGGGTCCTGGGATGGAGCCCCACAGTTGGGCTCCCTTCTCAGTGCGAAGCTTGCTTCTCCTGCTCCCTCTGCCCCTTCCCCTGCTCATGCATACATGCACACGCTCTCTCTCAAATAAATAAAATTGTTAAAAAAAATAAAATAACATAAACCTAAACACAATTGAAGGAAAGAAAGAAACAGCAGAAATAAATGAAATAGAAAACACACACAATAAAACCAAGCTGGTTCTTCAAAAAGACTAATAGAATGAGTACTTAAAAGACAGGTCCTGGAAAAATAAAATAACTAATACTGAGACTAAAAAGGAGCATCCTTGTAGATCTCACATTATCCTCTAATCCTTAATGGCTGATTCTCTCTTTCTTTTTGCCTTTTCCTTCTCACCTCTAATTCAAATTACTCATTAACTCTGATTGACAGCTAGCCAGATGAGACCACACACCATTCAAGTAAAAGATAATCTGGTCCACCACGGAAGCTACATTCCTTCAAATCTGCAAACTACCCTCCATCTGAACCGTGAAAGAAAATTTACTTCTGCGAGTTCTATATCCTTGAACTATGGAAAAGCTACACAAGTCCCTGCTTCTGTAACTTGGGAGTCTCATGAGGACAAGTGAGTGATAGCAGTTATAAAAATAGTCATACCTTGTTTGGCCTCATTTAACTTTCCCAAAAATGTTCTTGCCGTTCCTCTTCTGGCAAAAGCTTTAGAGTATGATCCATCTAATAATATAGCTTGTGTGCAGTCCTTTTCAGCTTCTTCATATCTATCCAACATGACAAAATTAACAACTAGAAAATGCAGTTAATAGAGAAACTTCACATAAACTGAGTCTCTAATGTAAAAAGCAGTCACAGTGTTTTAATTAAAAACTCCCAAATCTGTCTTTGACCCTCCTATATGTCAAAATGACATTAATGAATTACTGTGAATTTATTTGGCATGATAATGGTATTGTGGTTATCCTTTAGGGATAAGATGTCATAATGTCTCTGATATGCTTTGTAATGATTCAGACAGGGGGATAAATGCTAACTAACTATAATGACAAAAGTATGGCTTGTTAAAATTAGATGATTTGGTTCATGGGGCTTATTATATTACATTTATGAAATCTACAAAACTTTCATAATAAAAAAATCCCAAAAAAAGAGAATCGCCTATGATTACATTCTCCCCAAAGCCTAGATGAATGCCATCCTATGCTCAAAACAAGACCTCATAAGAATGAAGTAAAAATTTCTAGTGAACTTAAACATGTCTTCTCTTAATTCTTTAATTCACTTTTCAACAAAAGAAAGGATATGTCTGTATCTGTGCAAATGTGTGTGCATATGTTCCACCAATATATTTTCTACTTTGCTGATTATATCATTCTCTTATTCAAGACATGTGCATGGCCCCCCCAGTTTTCAGGATAAAATACTTTACTGACTCTCCAGCACTGTACCCTGGGTAATAGCCATAATTATCATTTGCCTTTTCCAGAAGTTACATTAACTTTTCTACTATTGTGCCTTTAAATCTGTACTGGAACATTCAACCTTTCATCTCACTTACTCTAACCAACATAATATATCGCTAATTGTGTCTGTTAGTTTAAATGAGAATAAATATACAAACAAAATTTACTTCTATGATAGGAATTCCTAACCTGAAGTCCTTTGAGAGATCTGAAAAGTTGGATGGGAAAAATATTACATCCTTATTTTCACTAACTTTTAAATAGGATTTAGCTTTTATTTCAATTATAACTGTAGACAACAAACCACAGTAGCAAAAGTAGTAGCTATGACTTTGCCCCAATAAATATCATAGATATTTTCATATCACATTACAACTATTACAGACATCTCAAAATATTTATTACAGTAGTAATTAAACCTGTTATTTGTATGTGATCACAGTATCCCTGTCTATAAATGCTCCTAGGACCTAACTGTACAACCATAAACAACTAACTCTACCCCTCCTAGTCATTCAGATACCAAAAAGTAAAGTCATATGCTACCACATTGGTAACACAATCATCTGTGTTACCTTTTTATTTCCTATCCACACTTATTGGTTCATCACCAGGTGGAAGATGTCATGGATCAGCCCAAATTTAAATTTTCATATTATGAAAAAAAAGAAAAAAATAAATAAATTTTCATATTATGTCTTCAAAACAAATTTAGCTTTAAATCAGCCTCTATTTTAAATGTAGTTTCTCATTTTGTTGTGTCAATGAAGTATATATACCACTAGATATAGTGTGCAAACTGTAATATTTTACATTTATAACTTCAAATGTATAATTATGCATTCAAATATATTATTGAGAAAGGTTCCCCATCAGCCAAATGGGTCAATGGCACCAAAAAAAGTTCAGAACCCCTATTTTAAATAATTACAGGGTTTTTTTTCTTAAATCCCATCACTAGTATATAAAATATTATTACAACAGATATAAAGACTGTGAGACAGTTTCTGCCATCAGATATTACCCTGCTGATTGTCCAACTTAGAACCCCTAAGAGTGCAGCCAGAAACAGCTGATTAGTATCACAGGACCAAGTTTTAACTGTATATATAATCAATCAGCTGATCTCAATGGCAATAATTCTCTTTTGTTATGTACGTATGGATATGCATACATGAAATACTGCCAGATAAGAACTTGAAAATAATTTTTAAATCACTCATAAAACTATTAAAGAAATGTTAAATTGTGTAATGCCATACTATTACAAGTGGAAAAATAATAACAAGAGCAAGCATTTACTAAATATGTGCTGATGATACTCAGTTCTTCATTTAAATTTAATGCTCAAGGGATCCCTGGGTGGCGCAGCGGTTTAGCGCCTGCCTTTAGCCCAGGGCACGATCCTGGAGATCCAGGATCGAATCCCACGTCAGGCTCCCAGTGCATGGAGCCTGCTTCTCCCTCTGCCTATGTCTCTGCCTCTCTCTCTCATTCTGTGTGACTATCATAAATAAATAAAAAAAATTAAAAAAAAAATTTAATGCTCAAGAGTAAATAAATTATATTTTAATTTATTATTTATCTAATATGCCAACTTATGGTAAATTTCGTTTTCATCCTAAAAAACATTAACTATAACGGAGACTTACTTCTGAATCTTTAGATAGGCCATTGCTCTGTTAGCTGGAAGAAGGGCATTAGTGCCATCTGCTGCTATCCCTCGAGTATAGCATTCAATTGCTCTTTCATATTTTCCCTCTTTGAAAAATCCATTCCCCTACCATTTTGGAGAGAAGTGTAAAAAAGAATGAAAAAAATATGCAAAAAATTAGCTGAATTCAAATCTTAAGTAAACACTACAAGAATACCCATCAATATTATATCAGTAATTAAAATATATTTTAATGTTAATAATCTAGTCCATGATACATGTTCTAGAATCTGTTTAGGTTGTTTTTTATAATGGCATTATTCTCTTTTCAGTACTAAAAAAAAAAAAAAAAAAAGTATACCTCTATACTACTTTGCACTATTAACCATTATTCTACTAATTATTATACAAAGCCCTAAATTTAAAAACACAATAAATACAGACCCAAATATTATACTCTTTAGTTATAATGGAAGCTGTACAACAGAATTTCATAACTCAAATAATTTCTGTGAAAGAACAGAGTACCAGAATTGTACAGCTCATTCTTTGGTTAACATCAACAGGACTAAAATAGGATAAATTAAACCATACCAGAATGTGTATACCAGATTTCACTCTAACATTTATAATCAGTCAGGTTTATCCCAATTAATGTCATTCCATAAGTATTCATTAAAAATCTTCTGTGGGTCCAAGAAAAGCTAAAAATATGTTAAACTGAATCTTGACTTGGGATTTCTAAAGGAATTTTGATCAGAAATAGTCCAGTCTGAATTAATGGAAAAAAATTCTCTATCAGAATGAACTGTAACTTATCTCTGTGTTAAATGTATAACCACCTACATGTAAATATGTTAAAATACTCAAAAGTAATTTGCTCCCTAAACTATGTTATTTTTTTAAATTATGTGTTAAGTCACCAATTACTCAAATTTTGAATTAGTAAGCTCCGGAGGTTTTTAGTATAACTTTCAGTTCCTACTGAAGAATTTTAATATTACAGAAGATAGAAACAGGATACAAGAAATGAAGAGTAAACTCAACAAAACATATATAGCTTGAAATCCCTCTGAATTACCAGATCTTTCTCTGAAATGGCTTGCTGCTTATTCTGTTGCTCTTCAATTTGCTTTTCCTCTCTTTCAGTTGATTTAATCATTGTATCAGCTTCCTTTGGATATAAATTTTCTTTGGATGTTAAAGCCTAGGAGACACAGTAGTTAGCTAAAATAAAACAAGTAACGCAAGATGCATATATATTTAACTTTAAAAAACTAAATTACTCAGGTGTATTAGAATTTGTCACAGTTCAAATTAATATTGAAATAATAGTTTTTACTCTAATTCAAAGTCTAATTCAAGTTAAAAAACAAAAGTGAATCTAATATACATCTTATTCCAAATAAAATAAATCATATCCACTAATGGCAGTTGTTCATTTATTTATTCAAGAAATATTTACTGAATTTCTATACAGGCCAGGCACTATTCGGGTAACTATTTTCAAAAATAAACAGATAATTAAGACCACATCCAAATTTCTCAAATCTAATATGCATAGTCATTATTTAACCAAATACAAAAATATATAACAATTCCTAATTATAAGCAAGCTGATAGATTTGTCAGATTTTATTGCAATAAATCATGGCAATATTTAAAAGCACATTTTCCTAGTCATTGTCATTTTTTTCTCAGTTTCAATGGATGGCAAAATGATTGTAACTGACTCAACAGCAAAATGAAAGGAATATGTAACTGTACAGTATCATTTGACAGCAAATTTTATAGCTAAATTATAACTATTTTCTCACTGTTAAAAAATTAGCAGTTTTTTCTAAAACAAACTATAAGGATGGAGCAACTTAAAAATTACAAAATCAAAGAAATATATGAAAGTTTAGTACAGAAATCAAAGCACTAGCCAAAAAAGAAAACTTAGTGGGACAAAGAGAAATAATTCTATCATCTGGGAAAAAATAAAGCAGCAGCAGTTCAGACCTCAGATGACTTTTTTTTTAAGATATTATTTTAAGTAATCTCTACCTCAACGTGGGGCTCAAACTTACAACCCCAGGATCAAGAGTTGCATGTGCTACTGACTGAGCCAGCCAGGGTGCCCCTCCTACGACTTTTTAAGAGGACTCCTAAGGATCTTTAAATACCATTCTACTTCCTCTAGCTTGCAAATCTGTTTAGTAAAACTATACAGTACAAAGAATTAAAATTAGAAAAAGTCTCTATTAAGTCATCTATAGTACAAAGACTACACAAAAACCTCTACTTCGTCAAATAAAGGTAAGTAATGCACTTTATTTAAATAACTGTGATTTACCTGATTAATTTTCCTGAGTTCATTCGTTGCTTCAAAGTTATTTGGTTCCAGTTCTAATACTTTTTCATAATCTAAGTAAATTTAGAAGATAAATATTTGAAAGATAGGGTATTAAAAAAATTCTATAAAACAATAATCATTTGCTACATGTGACAAAGAGGCAAGTGTCTTACAGAAAAATTCAGAGTAAGAACTGCTAATCAACAGTATCTCTGTTCTCCCCCAGGACAAGCAAAACCCTACAGAATCCGTGACCAATCACCTTCACCCACCAGCCCCAGGAAGGATACTTGCTATCGTTAAGTTGCATGACATAAACCCAAGAAGTAGCAGAATCCTATCAGGTTATCAACTTTATTCAGATTTTGTAATTTATAGTATATAAATCTATTTTATGGAATAATAAAAGGCTTAGAATTTACAAAGAAAAATGTGTTAAAAACTTTATGTGCAGTGCCTCTGCCTCAAAATATCCAACAAGATGTTTTAATCCTTATTTTACAGGTAAGAAACTGAAAATCATAGGAGAACCATAACCTTCCCTTTGGTCACACAGCTAAATACATGGTGGAATGAGAATTTGAACAGAAGTCTGACTGGTGGCAAATAACGCATTCTGTCACAAAGTATCAAGATATTTTTAAATAGCAAAAATGAGCCTTATTCAAATACACAAAGCTCTTAAGGTGGTAACGGTGATTGTCTAGTATCTATGATTCTTTGTATAACATCTGTTAAACTGTTAAAGAATTTTTTAGATAATAAGGACTTGGAAAATATTAATACCTTTTTTGGCATCCTCTAGTTTTTGCAATGCAAATCGAGCAGCACCTCGTCTTGTGTAAGCCTTCGTATAACTTCTATTCAAGGCAATTGCTAAATTACAATCTGACTCAGCAACAGCAAATCTGCAATTTAAAAATATTAAAGTTAAAAAATTAATTAAAAATTTTTAAAAATATATTAAAATTAATAAAATTCATTTGTTAAACTTAAACTTCATAATTTGTTTCTGAAAATCCCAGAAGGGGATTAAGTTCCCAATTAAAGGTGTGTTTCCCATCTTTTTTATTTACTTAAAGCTACGAAAGGCATTAATTAGTGATGGTGAGATGTTAAGTAATGTTCCCTTTAAAGCAAGGAACAAGAATGTCCACTATTACTGCTTTTTTGTCAGTACTGTGCTAGAGGTCCTGACTAATGTAGTTTCAAAGAAAGAGATATAGCCAAAAAGACTGGAAAGGAAGGAATAAAACTGACATTCTCGGATGATATAATCGTCTACCTAAAATAACTCAAAACAATCTAGAGACACTTAGAAATAATGAAAGTTTGCAAGCTGGCTGCTTTACTTGAGATAAGCAATAAAAAACAGAAATAAATCTAACAAAAGATATGTAAGACTCATACACAGAAAATTTGAAGCCTGTCCTCATGAACATTAAAGAAGACTTAAGTGGAGATATATAGCACATTCATGATCTATAATAAGTCAAAGAGACATCGCAATATAATTCTCTCCAAACTGAGCTATAATTCCAAAGCAATTATAATCAAATTCCCAACATAATTTTTCAAAGAATTTGACAAGATGATTCCAAAATTTACACTGATAAGCAAAAGTCTAAGAATACCCAAGACACTCCTGAAAAATAGTAAGGTAAGAAAACAAGCCCAATGCCAAATATCAAGACTTTTAATGCTATAGCAATTAAAGATAGTATGGAAAAGGCATAGGGATAAGCAACAGATCAATTGGAAAACAGGGATTAAAAAAGAGATCAGTGCAAACTTGACATAGAAAAATGGTGGCACTGCAGATACATGGGAAAAGCAGAGATATTCAATAAAATGACTGAAATGATTGAAATATTCATATGAAAAGATATGAAACTGGAATTCTACCTTCAGCATATATATAGATTTAACCGTGAAAAGTAAAACATAAAAACTTAGAAGAAAATACAGAAGACTATTAGCTCAGAGAAGGAAACGTTTTTTTAACAAAGCATATTTTTAGAAGTGCTATCCTTTAAAAAAAAATCAATAAATTGAAATATATTTAAAATTAAGAATTTCTGTTCATTGAGACTTCACAGAGAGAAAAAAAGCAAAGACACAAATTGAGAGAAAATAATCAGTATCCAGAACAAAGAATTCTTAAAAGTCAAGAGAAAAACAGCCTAAAAGAAAAATGGCCAAAGACAAAACAGACATTTCACAGGAAAAAAATACAAGTGGTGAATAGATAGATAAGATGTTCAGCTTTATTAGCAATTGTGGGTATGCAAATGAAGACCACAATGAATTACCATTTTATATCCAGCAGATTGAAAACAGTTACGAAGCCCGATTCTACCAGTGTTGGGAAAGATATGGAGCAAGTGTTCTTACACGGTCCTAATGGGAATAAAAACTTATACAACCACCTTTGTACTATTTGTACAATTGGTCATCACCATGTGAAGTCAAACGTACATACATCCTGTGACCTAACCCCAAGAAACATACAAAAATGTTGACAGTATCACTATTTTAAATCAATAAGAAAAGAAGGGTGTGAATGGTGGCGGGGGCACAGGTAGGAAAGGAGAGGCAACCAAAAACCCAGCAACAGGAGAATGGATACAGAATAGTACGTTCCTAAAAAGGAATTATATGTAACAGTAGAAATGAAAGATCTATAGTTATATGCAAAAGATGAAGAAATCTTAGGATCATAATATTCAAAGAAATATGCAAGCCACAGAAGACAACATTACATATATCAAAGCGCAAAAATAAACAGTTACACAATATATTATTTAGGAATACATACATATACAATGAATTTTTTTAAACCAAAAGAATGATAAATAGGCAATTTAAAACATCTCAGTTATTAACTAGAGAGAAGCAAGGGTCAGGATATGGAAAGGAACCTAAGGTAGCTTCAGAAATAGTAACAGTAATGTTCTAGTTCCTAAGTTGGGTGGTAGGGGCATGTGGGTTTATTTAAAATTATTTTCCATAACTTACACATACTAAATTGTAGATATATTACAAAATGTAAATATTATAATTTGTCAGGATATTCAGACTTAAAAATGTCATTTAAACAGTAAAAACTCAGATACCAATATAATTTGTGTTTTGAAATAATAAGTTAAAAATTTTAACATTCAAGAAACATCTTGATGGTATTTGTCTTTTTTTTTTAATTCTTTCTTTTTTAAAATTCTCATGGTAAGTCAGTTCTCTGCTTATCGTAAGACCATAACACAGTCATATTCTTCAACATTAAGAAAGTATTTAAAGGGTCAGTATGACGTAAGGATAAAGATTAAAACATATTTTAAGTTCACTACAATGAAAAGTCTCTAGGTTAAAGAGTGGATAAATGATTTTTCAAAATAAGGAAATTAATATCTAAAAGTTTTTACCCAGCTAACTTTCCTTTCTTTTGTGAATTAGGTAAGAATATCATAACTCAAATTTTTATTGGAGGAACATCTTGATAACATGAACTACAGAAGCATGGTCTGAGCCTCTGAAACCATTTGAACCATTAAAATGGTTTGAATAAAATAACTCAATAAAAAGAAGTGAGCTGTGAGAATTTACAGTTGAAAAGAAATATGTTTAATCTTTTACACATACTTTATCATGAAAGATTTTTTATTCAAATTTTTTTTATTAAGACAAATTTCCTAGAGTAGTTTTAGGGTCACAGCAGTACTGAGGGTAAGGTACAGGTATTTCTCATCTGTACTCTCTGCCTCCACATATGATAGTTACCAATATCCCACATCAGAGTGGTACATTTGGAAAAGTGATGAGCCCACACTGGCATATCATTATCATCCCAAGTCCACAGTTTACAATTTATTCTTGATATTGTACATTCTATGGGTTTGAAAGAGTATAAAAGGGCATGTATCTATCATTATATTACCACTGAGTATTTTCATTGCCCTAAAAATCTCTGTGCTGTCTATTCATTCCTCTACCACCCTAACCCTTGACAACTACTCATCTTTTTAATGTCGTCACTTTACCCCTTCCAGGATGTCATACATGAAATCATGTATGAAAGTTGAAAACATGAAATCATACAGTATATAGACTTTTCAGATTAGCTTCTTTCACAAAGAAATATGCATCTAAGTGGAAATCATGAAATCATACAGTATATAGACTTTTCACATTAGCTTCTTTCACAAAGAAATATGCATCTAAGTGGAAATCATGAAATCATACAGTATATAGACTTTTCAGATTAGCTTCTTTCACAAAGAAATATGCATCTAAGTGGGGAGCTAAGATGGCAGTGTAGGAGGATCCTAGGCTTGCTTCATCCTTCCAACTCAGCTAGATAAGTATCAAATCATTCTGAATACCCACGAAATCAACCTGAGGACTGACAACTAGAGAGAGAGAAGAGGCTATATCGAGGAAGGTAAGAAGTCCAGAGATGTGGTTCAGGAGAGAAACGGATGATCTTGGGTGCTGTGGAGGGGAGACAGCCCTGGTTGGGGTGGCGGGGAGAGAAAGAGAGAAAGAGGAGAGTGCTCAGGGATATGCACAGAGAGAACAGGTCCCCAAAGCCATTGGTTTTAAAAATGAGAGGAGCCGATTTTTGTTTTCGCAACCAGCAGGGCTCAAAGACTGGAGTTTCAGAGGTCAGGCTTGGCTGGGATACAGCCCTGAGGGTGCTACCCTACTCCTGGAGAGAAGGCAGGAAAACCAACCACCCCCCAACCCCCCCACAAAAAGCATCATCTGTGGTTTCCTTAAGGCACATAGGGAGAGACTATTCACTCTTCTTGGAGCACATTTGAGAGATGGCATTCGCAGAGATGCCTGTCGAGGGACAAAAGAACCAGCGGGCACCATTTCCCTCCCCACCCCCAGCCCCTCAGCATAGTTGCAGAGATACCAGCTGAGGGCTGCTAACCTGGACATTGACTGTTTAGACTGCTTTGCTCCAAATCCCGTGTCCCTGCACTCTGGCACGACTACCTTTCTTGGTCAAATCTGCATTTGTCCCAGCACAGCAAGACCATCCCCAGGAGATGAGCGCAGGCCCTTGCCACTGCAGTCCCTAAAGTTTGGAGTTATAAAAATCAGCAGGGTTGGCTGGGACAGAACATAAAGTGTACTGCCCTGCTCCAGGCAGTCAAGCAACGGGGAGACAAGACAGCATGAAAACATCCAAGGGGAAACTGTTTGCACTTCTAGTATTCCCTGAGGGTAGCAAGGACAGAGACCCCACTCAGGGACAAAGGTGCCATTTCCCTCCCTATCTTCAGCATAAATCAACTTCAGTAAACAGCACAGCACCAATATTGTCTGCCTAACCTGCTTAAACCAATCCCACCCCCCTGCATTCCACTGGTACTGCTTTTCTCAGGCAAGTGTGCCTAAGTCCCAGCACAGCAGGCCCCTTCCCCAGAACACCAGCAGAAACCCCCATACATACCACATCTACCAATTATAGGCTTCAGTTCTTGTGGAAGTAGCATCAGGTCTCATTTAACAAGCAGACCAGAGCACACCGAGTTAAAACTTGCCACTCTCTGGTCAAGGTTCAAACACCGCCCACAGCAACCAAGGAGAACCTCTGCAGGAGACTAACCTGAGGGATAGAGCAGCCCAAACACAGCAGCAGAGTGCACGCATCACACACCAGAGATACTCCCTGAGCACCACATCCTGGACACTATATGACCTCTTCTCCATAAAGCCATTACTCTCAGGAACAAAAAACATAACAGGCTTTTCTAACACACAGAAGACAGTCTTAGACAAAATTCCAACACAGAGGAATTCATCCCAAAAGAGAATGAGAAAAGGTTATGGCTAGAGATCTAATCGAAACAGACAGGGGATCCCTGGGTGGTGTAGCGGTTTAGCGCCTGCCTTTGGC